GGTTTGGCGGCCCGGCAGAGCGGCTGGGGCCTCGGGGCCACAAGGCGGGGTGCGGGGTGTCCTGCACAGCCCGGGCTGCTGGTCCCCCTGCTCAGGTGGTGCCTGCGTGCAGAGCACCCTGGGTTCACTCTGGCACGCAGCTCCAGCAGCACAGCCAGCGGTCTCACAGGGCAGGGGTCTTCCTCCTCCTCCACGCCCTCCGGAGCCGGTAGCACAGCGTGTGTTGGGAGAATCTGGAGGGGGGCTTTTCCGCCGCAGAGTCCAGCATCAGCAGGGTTTCTGTCGCCAGGGTAGAGATGGAGGGGCTGCTGTCATTCCTCGTGTCTTGAAGGGCTGGGACGGAAAGGAGCGGAGCTGAGGTCAGAGCCTGCGTCTGTGGGGACCTCAGGAGCCCCTTTGTCCAGGGCCCCCCCAGCTCTTCCCACAGCCAGGAGGGAGGCAGGGGCGCCGGGATCAGCCGGAAGGCGCTGGCCACCGATGCCCCACGTGGCCCTGAACTCTCTATCTGCTCTGTCCGTGCCACCTCCCGCCTGCCCAGGGAACAGAGCCCTTCCCGGCCGGGGCAGGGATTGGAGCTCCCTACCCAGGGGCTTTCCTCCTTCCCGCCGTCCCCTGCAGACACCCCACAGCCCCCTCTCACCCTTGTAGATGACCTGGAACTTCTCTTGGAGCTCGTCCCTCAGCCGCAGCCCTGTGAGCCCTCGGCACACACAGCCCCCGTCACAGGTCCTGCTGGCCTGCCTGCCCCAGCAGTCCAGCTTCCCCCCCCCAGCCCTGCGGCCCTGGCCACGCGCCCTCCTCCCCTTGGGCAACACTGAGCCCAGGATGGTCCCCTGAGCACGAAGCCCAAGAAGGCTGCGAAGGACCCAGTGAGGCTCCCTCTTAGTGATCCTCTTAGATCCCCTCTTAGTGATCTCCCATCTCCTGTTGCTGGTCCACGTGTGTCTCGTGGAGCAGGTTTCCCATTGTTACATTTCTCTAAGTGCGGTAACGTTCCCTGGGTGATGGAGTATTTGTTTAATTGAATAGCATCGCAGCCGAGAAGCACTTGGCATCATTTATTGCGCTGGACTGCTGACGGGCTGGAATTCAACATATTTCCTCTTGGTTTTGTGATTCCATGGAAATGTGGCAGTGATTTCCCAGTGACACTGCCCAGCGGTGTGTAGGGAGCGCATGCAGCCCCTGTCACTGCTTTACCTTGCAGGCATTCTGCATCTCCTGTCGATATGCACCGGCTGTGAAGGCTGTTTGGGTGTAAAGGAAACATTGGGGCCACAAGATCTGTAAGAGATTAATTGAAATGAGCAGAGTAAGAGCAAGGAAAATGTTGTGAGAAAAATAGAATCATAGAATCATAGAATCACTTTGGTTGGAAAAGACCTTTAAGATCATCGAGTCCAACCTTTAACCTAACCCTGACATCCCACCGCTAAACCCTGGCCCTAAGCACCTTGTCTATCCTTCTTTTAAACACCCCCAGGGATGGGGACTCGACCATATCCCTGGGCAGCCCATTTCAGAGCTTGACAACCCTTTCAGTGAAGAAGTTTTTCCTAATGTCTAGCCTAAACCTGCCCTGGCGCAGCTTCAGACCATTCCCCCTCATCCTATTGTCCATTACCAGGGAGAAGAGGCCGACCCCCACCTCCCTACAGCCTCCTCTCAGGCAGTTGTAG